CAGGTTCTCCCCCGATTGTCAGGCGGGCGACCGCCGGAACGGTCCGATGGAGCGATACGATTCAATGTCGAGTGCCTGCACGTCCACCGAAATTGTACGTCTTCCCTCGATCTGGTAGACGATCGATTCTCGCGGCCTTCGCGCGCGGCTCGGCGCGCTAAGTGTAGGGAATTATAAGGTCATGGGTCGGAGCGCACGCACGCACGCACACATACACGCGCGGGCAGCTCCGTCGGGAGTTCCGGAACTTTCGGCAGCGAGCTGCCGACGAGGTCGGGAATATCGATTCCCCGGAAATTTTCCGTAATTAATGAGAGATGCCCCGCGCCGCGCTGTCGCGGTATAATTGATCGAATCTCGGTGAACTGCATGGATAACTCGGGAAACCTGAGGGCGAAATGTCTCATGAGCCACACCACGCGCGATTTTCCTCTTCCACTCCGATTTTCGAGCTCTTCCTCGAACGTGAACGTGAAATCGCCTCGAAATTCGGCACATGATCGACTCGTGCGATACGCATCGCGCGGAGGGTCTTCGGAGAGTTGAACGGCCGATATGTTTACCCCCGCGGGGATACTGCGAGGAGCAAGAGGAGAATAAGACGCGAACGTGCGAAAGAAGTGCTCTATTTGCGGCCGTGGAATTTCAGTGCATCGCAATGCAAGTCTCTCTTCTCTCTTTCCATCCACGACGATACGGAGGAGCTCGCACGGAGGACCGCCCGCGCGTTGCTTCGCTTCTCCGCGCTTCTCCCGAGCGAGAGATAATAGGCGCGATCGAGTTTCAAAGAGAACGAGCAACCGGCTGCCGCGGCTAACTGGCTGCCCCGTTTAAATGTGTTTCGGATATTTGCTAATTAATCGCTCCTATTTCCGTCCGCTCTCCCGGCGATGAGCAAAAGGGGTGGCGGGCGCGACGAAAATTCAAGCGTCGCGTCTAACGAGCTCTGTATCCCCAGATTGCTAATGTTTATTTTGACCTGCACATCGAGTGACAATTTAATTTAGAATAATGTTTCCAATTGATATCAACTTATTCTTTTCCTACAAAAAAATGATCGAAAATTTTAAGTATGTATCCGGAAATTTTTATCTTACTACATATTAGCATTGACAATTCAAAGTGAAGAAAGACACGCATTGCTCGACGCGTTGCATCTGCAAATGTATTTTTCGCGAGGAACAACAAAGTGGCAGAAACTTTTCAAACATTGAGTAATACATGGTAGATTCGTGCTCCGAAATAAGCCGAATAAATAAACCGAGCACGACGCGAAATAAACATGAAGGAGTTTTGCAAACAAGTATCGATAAGTGCGGATGCAAATATATTTCGGGTCTGCCACACATGCAGAAGATGTCGTAGAAGAAATTACAAAAAAAATGTTTATAATCTTGAATAGAGAATCACGACCTAAATTGCCGTATGTTTGTTCACTTTAAAATGTTAACGCGCGTTGGACTTTTTACCTACAAAATTATTGTAATTATTTGAATGCTTTTTATATCGTATACGGATAGATCGTCAAACATGGTAGATTCGTGCTCTAAAATAAGCCGAATAAATAAACCGACCACGACGCGAAATAAACATAAAGGAATTTTGCAAAGTATCGATAAATGCGGATGTAAATATATTTCAGATCTGCCACATAGAAATTGTAAGAAATTGTAATAGAAATTACAATATAATTTTTGTAATTTTGAACCATACAGAATCACAACCTAAATTACCGCATGTTTGTTTAAAAATATTAACGTACGTTCGACTTTTTACTACAAAATTACTGTAATTATAATATTTGAATGATTTTTATATCGTGTACACAAGCGGATAGATCGTCAAATTTACTATTTCTACAGTAATTTATACCGCAACTTTTCAGTATAGTCCAGAGCTTGACAAAGGACGTTGTAAGAAGAAATATCGTTTTAACGTAAGTTTGACTTGAACTACAATATTCTCCCCATTTGTTTATTCGGTCTAGTCGAGCGCGGCGACAAGATGTGGCTTACGGATGTCACGCATGTTGACGCGGAATGACCGTTCCCGATGAGCATGATGGAATGCGCGTTTATAGTTTCTGTGGACGCATTCTATCGATGAATGACACCTGTCCCTTTACGACCTCGTCGTTCATCGATCAGCCATCGATGTTGAGCCGCGCGCCGATAAGCGATACAACGTTCGGCTACGCGAAATGTGCCCAAGAGTGACACTGCAGGATGGTTATCTGAGGTACTCGGAACGGCTTGAATATTCATTATTCGCATTTCTTTGAGCCAGTTACTCATCGATCATTCGAATGGTGTCGTAAACGAACTAACATAAATAATCAAGACAAAACGCGTAGCCGGCGGTGAAGAACGTGATGGAGCCGCGGTCCGTATCTCCTCGCGCTGCTGGCGCACAGACAATACGCGGAACAATGGCGGTTAATTAAGAGGGGAAACGCGGTGGTGTATAAATTAATGCTCGGCCGCGACTTTCGTGAGCGCGCCGAATGATTTTAAATTGTGAGTTATCGGCATCGCGCGCGGCTCAAACATTGAGATCGATAATGACGGCGTCGTCTCCCCGATGACGCACTTCGAGTCTCTCGATTCGAAACAAAGTACACGAAGCGCTGGGTAATTTTTCCGCTCTCCTTTTTTGCCATTGTCGAGCGAGAAGACTCAAGCGCGTTAAGAACGCCGATACCATTGGCGGGCCGTCACCTCCGAATCTCCCCGGCGACCTTAAGTCGACAAATCGCGTTTTAAGTGTTATGATCGTCGCGTCAATGGGCTTAAATCGATGATACGATCCGGCCGCATCACAGCCGCATCGTCGAGAATTTCTCGATGCGCGAAGTGCACGCGAGCGCGGCCACGTGTGCGTGATGATGATGCGGAGGAAGAAGAAGAAGAAGAGGACGATGGAGCGAGAAAGAGAGGCAGCGCACGCACACCGCTTTATCGTCGGACAGGTTTATAAGATTTTTTAGCCCGAGGCAGGCATCTGGGTAACCCGATCGTGCGACTGCTAAGGTAGACGAGCACCGAATTATTGCGCTCAGATCAAATAGTAAGTAATAAGTAACGAGAGGTCTCAACGAGCTTGCTGATTCTTATCAGACATCCCGAGATCAGTTACTCTGCTTCTTAGCAGGCATCCCGAGTTGAAATTTTGATTCCATTTTCGACCTTGACATTCATTTAACGCTCTCTCTGACACCCAATCGAAATTTTCATTCTATTTTTGACCTGAACTTTATGACACTTATATATTCTGAACAATCAATATTTAACATACACAGAAACTGAAATCCTACTTAACGTCTCTCTAAATAGCGGCAAATACACAAAGCGTCACTTATAGGTTTTGAAGAGAGTCTCTCGATCAAGTTAATAGGTTAAATAGGATCAAGAGAAGTTGATGCAGGCTTCAGAATATCAAAATAGCCGTTAAACAGAATATTGCGGTTGAAAGTAGGATCAACTTCTTTTGATTCGATTTAACCAACTAACATTGCCGAGAGGTTCTCTTTAGAACGTATAAGTGGCATTTTGCGCGTTTGCTGCCATTTAGAGGCTCCAAATGATACTTCGGTTTCCACGTATATTAAACGTACACTGATCCTTCAGAATATACGGATATCATAAGGTTCAGATGGAAAGTAGGGTCCAAATTTCAACTCGGGACACGTGGATTGCAAAAATTATACCGGTCCGTTAGGCACGATTACGACTGGAAACTGGTATCGGGAGGGTAGTGTCCAAGAAGCGACATGAATATTGAAATGATTGCGAGACGAAATCACGGCGCAAATGATATTGCGCGTACCTGGCGGTGTTTACACCGCCGTGGGCGCCCTTCGCCGTGCTCGGCGTGAACGCCTGCGAGGCTTTCTGACGGGCAATCATCGAATCACGCTGGGCAGCGAAATGATCTCGCGGCTGTCAGGAGGTGATAAAAGTCGCGCGGCGGTATGCTGATTTCCTCTTAATGGTCGCTTCAGGAGGCCGAGGCGGGAATGCGAGGTGAGAATAGGAGAATGTGTCCGCGATGCCGCAGCGAGAAAATACAGCATCCATCTTTTCACACCGTGACGCGATTGATGATCGTCCGGTGTAGTTCGCGTGAGTGCGAGACTCGTTTATCTTTTCATCAACGAAATTGCCGATGTGTGTCTATGAGTTGTCGCCACTGCAACAAACTAATTTCCCGCCGATGACACGTTGCTTTTCCTCCTTCTATTGACACTCTACAAATCCGTGCATTTTCTCCGTAACGAGAAGAAAGACCGAAAGCCCCGGAATTTCGCCGAGTCGAAGCGGAGTTTCACGTTCGCTTACGAGCGATCGGGCTAATTGGTACCTTAGGCTAACAGAAAGCGCCGGACCGCTTTTAATTCACGTGTGTGCGAGGGCGAAGTGTGTTGCACGCGCATACGCACGTACGCACGCACGCGGCCAAAGGTGTGTTGCCCGCCGTCGCGCACGGACAATCCCAATAATTGTACGCGACAGAGAAACGCGCCGCTGCGCGTGAGATAATTAATCGGCCGATTAATTAAAAGGCTCGCCTTTGAACGGCGGCGTGTACGCGCCGGTCTTGTTCCGTCGTTACTCGCGCTACTATCGCGCTCGGATCGTACATCATCGCGTACGGACGCGCGGCGCGGCGCGTCGCTCATTGCCCATAAATATAGTAATTCAGCGACACGTTAGCGGCCCCCGCCGTATATTTACGCGCCGGCTCATTCACTTCCATTTACGTGGCCGGCGCGAACGCGACGCGAGTAATCGCGTCCGGCCGCGCTCTGAATTATTCACTCCTCCTTGCGAGACGCGTTTGTCCCCGGATCACGGGGCTATTACATGTGGTTGCCATCTTACCCGCGAGATCAATCACGCTCACGTTAATCGAGCGAAACCTCCGTGCGATCCGCGCGACCCCCCATTCAATCGAGCCAAACGTATTAATCCCGAGATCTCAGCGATTCGTACGCTACTCACCCCGGATGATGTCTCGTGTACGTGGGGGCCGTGGTCGGGATCAGCTGATAACTTTGCGTGACGACCTCCGCCGGTTGATGCCGGTGATTACCGTGATAACCCGCGTACGCTATCGCCCTCGTGCCACCGTGCTCCGTCATCGCCACGGCGCCGCTGAAATTGTGCTCCAGTGTCCGTTGCTCCATATGATGATGCCATGAGTCCGGCTGCTGCGGGGACGGCGACCTAGTCGCGGTCACCTGTGCTCTCGACGTCCATGGGCTTCTCGAGGTGGTTGTCTCCGGAGCAACGCGGCCGTCGCCTGAGCGGTCGTGTCTGGCATGCAGCAGTCTGTCGCGGTACCAGGCCGGCCATACGACCCTGTGGTCGCTGCGCGAGGGTACTCGATGATGATCCTCCGGCGACGATAGGGCCGGACACGCCGTGTTAGCGATGAACCAACACGTCAGCAGTATCTTCAGGGCCATCATTCAGGTCACTCAGTCTCTGGTTCTTTTTTCTCTCTGGTACCTCCGGAGCTCGAGAGAGGTTCTCGGGACGATCGCGCGATGTCCTGGCGACAACGAACGGGCCGGTCACATTCTCGAAGAACGCGCTGAGTCCGCGTAGGACACGACGGACATCCGGTGCGAGGTCCTCCACGGGCAGCTGAGAGCACTACTGGGAGAGAGAGCACTACCGAACGAGACGCTGGCCCCACGTGCTCCAGCTGCTGGTACCAACAACCCCACCATGAGTCACTCTCTCTCTTTCCCTCTTCTCTTCCTCCCTTTCTCCGTCTCGTTTCTTCTGCCTGTGTTGCTTTCAGCCGCGCTTCCCTCTTCTCCCTTGCGTTCGCTCGCGTTCGCCTGATCCGCCTGGACTCTCTTTCTCCCTTTCTCCTTGCCATTCTCGCGCTACAGCCGCCGCCTGGTCTCCTGATACCCCACCAGCTCCTGCGATAACCACCTACGTATCCTTCCGCAGCAGCCTCGCCGCGCACCGGCCGGGAGAAGAAGGAATTCCTCTACTGTGGTCTACTATCTTTACGAGCGATAACGCTATTCCGGACAAAACTCTCCGGCTGCAAAGGTGTCACGGCGCGAAAACGGATGTGGGTCGTGTCGATGTGTGTGAGTCACATTCGCGACACACTCGCGAATTCCGCCGGAACAAAGTTCCAGATGATTAACGGGCCGAAGGAGGGGGAGGGTCGTGGATGGGTGAATGCGGCTCTTTGAATCGCAGAACGCATCCCTTGAAAACGGAAAGAGACGTTGCTGGCGATTAAGTATCTCGCCTATCAGCGAAAATTGTTGGTGGCAGTTACACAGTGGATAAATACAGAACATGGACGGACCAGTCGGGAGTAAACGACATCGGCATCGCGAGTCTAAGATTAATGAAGCGGATGGAGGTATTTACCGTCGTAAAGTAGACGTGTACGAGCGCGAAAACACTTTGGTTCGTTGTTAAAAATATCTAATGATACAGCCGCAGCAACGGCACACCCGGTGGTTGGCCGGTGGTAATTAAACGCAGCGCTACGATAATCGCTGTCATAAGCAGAAACCGCAACGCCGCTGACATAACGATCGGCTCGACGCACGTAATCCGCTGCCATTCGCATTAAAGCCCTGTTCATTATTCAGTGGAAAAAATGCGTAAGCAGAGAGAGAGAGAGCGTCATAAAACCACGTGAAAACGAAATGCAGAGACGAAACGACGAACAAAACAACGCTCTCTATCCTCTCCTCTCCGCGTCGTCTCTACGGAGCGTGGACTTTTTATATAAGGTTACGCTGAAACATTCAGCTCTCCTGAATCGAGGCGGCAGCGCGCCAAGGGAATTGCACGAGACCGACGTCGGTCGATTTTGCAATGTCGGTGGTGCCGGGGAGTTACGTGCGCTGGAAGTCTCAGCGCAATTCCTGAATCACTTCGGCCACGACGTTACTCGGGACCAAGGTCAGTGGTGCAGTGGCTGCGGCCGTGGCGAGGTCTCCGTTACCTTTTTGCTCGTTCCACCGAGTTGAACCGAGGGCGTACGGACGAGAGGAGAGGAATAATTGCGCGGATCATCGTCGCGTTATTGCCCATTAGGAGGCGCAGGACGCAAAACACAGAAGCGCATCCACAGACCGCCGGGAGATAAATCAAGTGGAATAAAATGCCGCGACGTTCGTTCCCACGAACGCGACGTCTATTCCCCCTTTCGTTTCGGATCGTCTGGGTCGATCTGGCCCAGATGATGCTCACGACAGGTGACGAGAGCGAAGATCGAAGTGGTGTCTCTCTCCCGCGACTTCGCCATTGCGCAAGGCGCCGAGAGATACACGAGATGCGAGAGGTACGAAATTCCTCCGCGCTCTTACTTACTCGCCACATTTCTTGGAGTGGAATCTCGCTTGAAACGAGCCAAAAGTGGCAGCATTTCCGTTGGAAACGTTAGTGAAAATACCGCCACTCGAAATGGCAAAAGTGCACAGAGGAAAATGTCATTCTGCTGCTAAGAAAGGCAACTACTCGGTCTACTTTCCTTCTTCCAAGTAATGCTTAACTTCAACTTTCAAGAATATCTCCCCAAAATTGTTCCAAAATATACACATTTATAATAAATTTAAGAGAAGTTCATTATAATCACGCACAAAAGAAGAATTCATTCTCTTTATAAGAATATTATGAAACTTCGTCGAAGAAAAGTTGGTTCGAATCTATACGATGAACAAACCGAATTTTTGGTTCAACTCAATATTCTTGATTGAAATGCTGAATCTATTAGAACCCAGAAAGTATAATATTTCGAACAAATCTGATATTATCTGATATTATCTGATATTATAAATCTGAGCTTATGATAGGCTTGCGGATACATGAGCTAATGAGATGCTTGGAACAAGTAACATTCACTTGAATGCAGCATGTAATTTTCTGTGCGTGAACGTTTCATTCAAGCTTAGAGTGGGTCTTGACACCAGGACGCGCGACTGCTTCAATCAATTCAAGTGAATACGTTCCCGCGACGATGGAACACATCGGGTTCACTCTCGAATTTCGAGTGGAAATGTTCACTCGACAATTCGGAGCGTAGAGTTCACTCTGTATGAGCGAAAAGTCACTCGAATTCAATGGACTCGGCGGGTCACTCCACTTTCCGAGTGTAATTGCACTCGAAGAAATTCGGGGAGCGAAAGACGGAATAGTATGCCTGATTTAAACGCGAAGGACACAACGAAACCGGAGTAATGTTTCATTCGGACGATGGCGGTGCACGCTCGAGCGAAACGGTCATGATTAATGCTGTCGACACCACGTAGGAATGTTAATCGAGCTCGCGGTGATCGCGAAAGACTCTTTTTCCATCTCCCTCCCTCTCATTTTTTCCGCTCCTTCTTTGGTCCTTTCGTTTGCGCGTCGTTTTTGTTCCGTTTTCTTTTCTTTTATGTTGTCGGTGCGTGCGCGATAAGCCTCGTTATCGAGACGATCGCGGCGTTGTCGTCTCATTAATTACCGCTCGCGCACTTTATTCTGTCGATAATTCGTCGGTAGCCTGACCGGTTCGTCCTCACAATCAATTGCAGCCTCATCCGAGCCCGCGTAAGCAATTCACAACGTCGGTTAACGATTAGTTATTTCCATAGTTGGCTTCAGGCCCCACGCTCCGAGTCACGGTCGCAACTGCGTGTGTATTCGCCGAAGTTACTTCGCTCAAACGATTTCGGCAGGGACTGAACCGGATCGAAGTGAGCTTTGAAACAATTAGTTTCTTCGTTTCGAACGAACTATTTTATCCCGCTATTTTTCGCACGATAAAACGGCTCGCTTCAAACAAGAAAGACTAACGCGACAACTGCTTCTAAGCTGATTTCCGCCCAGGTCCATCCTACGTTGAAACATCGGCTGTGGTGTTTGCAAAATTTCCAGCCGCGGAAGCTTCACGAGCGAATTCTCAAGTAGCACGTTTATGAGTAAAACGCACGTTGAAAAGACTCGTAAGCACGCGCGTCTCAACGCGTATCCCTTGCAAAGTGCGGAGAATTTTACTCTGTGGAGGAGAGCAATGTTGCGGAAGAAATTAATGACCGCGGTAAGTCGCTGAGGTCGTAACGACTCCATAAACTTTGACCTTTCGCTGAGAGAGAAAACACCTAAAAACTCGCATAATCAAGAATTAATCGAACGAAACTAATTCGCGGTGTTTGCGCGAAACGCCGCGATAATTCGAATTCAACGGGGAGGAAGCGCGACACGTCTGATTCCGAAATAAGTGACTGAATTGCACTCCGCTCGCGCGCGTCCGTTGTTATTCCGATCAGGAATTAATTTTAGCCAGCGCGCGCGGCTCTGTCCTGTAATTAATTTGCATTAATTGCGCCGGCCGCATCGCGCGATCTGCGAATGTAAATTTCATAAGGAACAATCTCGCGAGTCGTAATCTCTGTGTCTCGCGGCACGCATATCAATGATAGACGACGTCGTAAATAACGAGACGCGATTTCCGTCATGAGAGCAAACCTCGGGAGAAGTTAATCGAAGATTGCTCTCTTGGCCCGCGGGGCAAACGACGAAATCACTCTTTCGTATGCAAATGAAGCGATCGGTTCTCGACGGTGTCGCTGACTAGTTGTTAATTTCATCCTTCAAACTTGCGATGCAATATGCGCTTGTATACACTGAGAGAAGAAATATCTAAAAAATAATAAATATTTATTTGGTGGGTATCAATACCATCTGTTCAAATCTGTTTAAATCTATAGTTTTTTATTCAAAGCTCATCAATCGAGAGTTACGCGACGAGTAGCCTTAAATGGAATAAACAATTGCTTTCGTAAAAAGCTAAGGTTTACTTAAGGGGCTTCAAGAAAACGTATATTTTATATTAGTACAAGTAAATATGTTATTCACTATTTATTATTAAATATTTATTAAATATTTATTATTAAATATTTATTATTTCTGAGATATTTTTGCCTCTCGGTGTCGTGTGACGAATGTTCCGCGGCTGAAAGGGCGGAGAAACACATCTATCGAGATGGTTGACGCAATTGCGCGTTTTTCGCGGAAAAATCGCGCCCCGTGTACGAATACGTCGGCTCGTGTCGCCATTGTGTCCACTTTTCAAAGCGACATCGATCGCTCCCTCGATACACGATATTGCACGCTGCGACATGTTTCTGCTGCCGTGCAACCCCTAATGCTCTCTAATTCTCGTACACCCGATGCATGACGCAAGCACGGACACATGCACCGCACTCGGGTCACGTATCCAGGCTCTGACCTACTGACACGATCCCGTGACGTCACGGGAGAGCAGTGGAGACGGCGAAAGGGTGGCAAGGCTGAAGTAGGTGGGAGGCACTCTCCTGTCCCGACGAAGGAGGTATCTTCCACGGCACGTAACGGCGCGACGGGGTATGATTCAGAAAGTAAAAATACGAGCGCGCATCGCGCTTAAACGAATACGGCCGAATAAATGTTGAAGCAGACGGAAAAGATGCGCGTCTCTGCGAAATTGTTTGACATCGTTTCAACCGAGTCCCCCTATATTCCCGCAACGTGTGACACGGTCGACTAATCGTTTGCACTCGCCAGCAACCAACGTCAGACGATTATCCTAGGGGCGACACGTCATCCTTTGTCTAAATTCTCGCGCTCTTCCGCACCGCTTCATATGTTATTTTACAACTTTTTGTAGCCTCTTTACACGTATTTTCGATCGAATTTTTTCCCGCGTCAGTTAAGGAACCATCGCGACCACGCGGACGACCCGACAGTCGCGGCTCGAGAGCCAAGGATATGAGAGATCGTCGCGCGATCGCCGAAAGAGTCTCCATCGCCAAGAGCCGTCAACGACGTCGGTGACAGTTCCTCGGCCCCGTCGCCGCACTCGAGCACTCTCGCCCGACCTGAGAACCGACGGCAACGACCTTGCGCCGGTCTATCATCGAAAAGTTCGCTCGGAGATTCTCGCCTTCTTCAAGGAAAATCGGGAAAAATCAAGGCCTCAAATTTTCTCCCAAAAGTACGCAGATCAAATTCGAGAAATTCGCAGCTTGTCGTATCCCAGGCGACACGAATTACCAGAAGATGTTTCAAAGACCACCAAGAGACACCCTGCCTCTTTGCGACGTCTTTTGAGCGTTCTTGAGTAGTTCATGATGTCTGGAGTGGTTCTAACGAAATCGTACAGCTCATTACGTTATCGACGGAGAGACAACCATACGATCGACTGCCACACGTGCGACGTAAACGCGGATCGCGATGCACATGTCCTTCCGGTTCACCAAGCGCTCCGTCATCCCTCCGCATAAACCACCTCCGCATATTTCAACGACAGACGAACCGCGCGCGCGACACCGTTGTGCATTTGCACCCGGAATACGGTATTTTCCGCCTGCCTCGTGGAAATGCGCGCTCGTATGCCGCTCGCCTTGACATCGTAACTGGAATATATCTCTCCAACATCGCGTTCGACCTCCCTCGCACTTTTCCGTCGTCCATCGCGTCTATCCCGTCGATGCGCTGAATGATGGCCCGCTGGACGTCATGAATTTTCGCTCCGTCGCCCTTGCGGCTTTAAACGTCAACCGGCGCGAAAGACTATCTACCTATCTACTCTATTTATCTACCTACTTATCATCTCTCTGTCTTTCTTTTTCTCTCTCAATGTGCTCTTTCTCAGAAATGAAACTTGAAACGTTTCAGAGTGCTGTTAGCTCTGTCGTCAAGTGACTATGCGCTCATCCTGCTCGCCGCTCGTGTATCATATCTCTATCGACGAGAGTTCTGAATCCTTAGTCTTCCATCTATTATACTTAAGTCGCTACTGTCGGCGACGTGCTTATATGTTGAATTATTGACTCATATTGATTTACGTATTATCAACTTTATGCTTCCTTTCGCTACCTTTCTGTGAAATGAACCGCGCGGTTGCCTCGTGCACACAGTTGTCGATGTCATGACTCCACCAAATTATATGTCCGCTCTATGAGATATATACCGGGATAAAAATACGCGACCATACAATCTGATGATACACTCCAACTCGGGGAACCTTGCATACGGCCGTATACTATTGTGAATCATAAAATTTCCAGCACGATTCTACCTCTAATCGAATCGTTGTCCTTGCAACCCTAAATCCCAGCGCCCTTTTTACCAGCGTTCACGGCCACTCTATATATTTCGGATAGTCGAGCGATATTCCAGTTTCAGGCAAAGCGCCAGCGAGTGGGTCTATAAGGTCAGTTCTGACGGTAAAAACGTGCGGCCAATGCGAAATTCCCCTCGGAGCTGCCTGCCAAATGGGCCACATTCCGGGGATAGAAGAGAGGGCGAAGGTTACGACGACGACGACGACGAAGATGTCGCGCGGCCATAAAAGTCGAAACGCTGGCCGACACGCGCGAACGTGTACGTGTCGAGATGTACGGACTCTAAGCGAATTACCTGGGATCCACACGTGGATCTCGAGGTGCACAGCCTTGAAACGCTACGACGACCATGAAATCGATCGTCCGGCCGCGTGATGGCTTCTCGCGCGATCTTGAAACCGGGGCCAGAGCGAGAAAGGCCGAACGTATCACCTGTCGACTTGGAGCGCCGCGACGTTATATTATCAAGGATTTGTTCTCGCACGAACGAGCCTCGACACAACTTCTCTCCTCTCCTCGCCGCTTCCCACCGAGTATCCCCGCGATGACGACGCGATTTTTACCGCGCCATCAGCTCGTTATCGTTTAAAGTAACGAAGTCTGACTTCAATTTCCGGCGATACGTCACACGTCGGCCCGTCACCGTAACTTCCGCACCTTACACCTCTTACCTTACGCTATACCTTGCCGCACCTTGCACCTCGAGTCTTATCACACGACGAAAAATACAAGATCGCGACTCCGTTTACCGTTTGGTTGTCGCGAAAGAGATCGTCCCGCTTTCGCGTGCTAATTTTTTGCAAGACAATCTTCTGGGGGGGGGGGGGGGGGGG